GTGGGATGCTTTTTCTGTATGCTGTGAATATGTGTGTGTGTGTGTGTGTGTGTGAGAGAGAGAGAGAGAGAGAGAGAGAGAGAGAGAGAGAGAGAGAGAGAGGTGAAGATTTAAGTATGAAAAATTTCAAGCAGAACACAAACTTTGAAAATTCAGCTCTTCATAGTTTGCCAGCTTGAAACTGAACCTTTAATATGTCATGATTGTAACTTTATCTTAAAATATAAAATGGTTTATGTTTTTGGTGGTTGGTTGTGTTTTTGAGTGGAAATAGGAAATATGACACCTCCTCCCCATTTCTTTGAGACAGGATCTTATTCTAGCCTAGGCTAGCTTTGAACTCATTATATAGCCTAGACTGGCCTTGGACTCTGTAATCCTAGCACCCTGGATAATAAATATTCAGTATCCAGGGTGTTAGGATTACAGGCCTGATCATATGTCCAGCTTGAACTTAGTCCCTCCCTCCCTCCCTCCCTTCCTTCCTCCCTCCCTTCCTCCCTCCTTCCTTTTTTCCTAGACATGGTGTAATGAGCTTGCTTCAAACTCTCTATGTAGCTTTGGATGACTTCGAACTCTTCATCTTTCTCTCTCTACCTCCTGAGTGCTGGGAATATAGGCATGTGCCACTTCCTCTGGTGTATAAAGTATTGGGATCAAACCCAGGGCCTTGTACATGCTGGGCAAGCACTCTCCTAATGGAGTTACATCTCTGGTCTCTGAACTCCCATTTTCTTCCTTCCTTCCTTCCTTCCTTCCTTCCTTCCTTCCTTCCTTCCTTCCTTCCTTCCTTCTTCCTTCCTTCCTTCCTTTCTCTTCTCTCTCTCTCTTTCTTTTTCTTTTTCGTTTTTTGAGACAGGGTTTCTCTGTGTAGTTTTGGTGACTGTCCTGGAACTCACTCTGTAGACCAGGCTGGCCTCGGACTCACAGAGATCCGCCTGCCTCTGCCTCCTGAATGCTGGGGTTAAAGGTGTGCGCCACTGCCGTCCGGCTGAACTCCCATTTTCTTGATGAGTGTGTTTTAGACTTGGTGTTAGTTATATGTTTAGTTTATCTTATGTGTATGAGTGTTTGCCTGAATGTAATAATGTATGTACATCATGTTTGTGCCTGATGTCCAAGGAGGTCAGAAGAAGGCATCAGTTCCCTGGAACTGGAATTGCTGTAAAAGGGCTGTTTGACCTGGAAGGGATCATGAGCCACAGGTTGAGAACTGCTTAGATCCTGTGTTTTAGACAAGCTTTCAGCACTATTTTGCTAGATTATGGCTGCTGGTGTTAAACATTATTATCTTACTGGACTGATTTGTTTTCTAAAAGCCTTTGTTTTAATTCTTGTGGCTTTTATTTTGGATACTTTCTTCTTGGAAAGTAAACCTTAGAAAATATAGTCATTTACCATAGTGGCAAATGAATGAAGAGATCATTTGGTGTACATGTTGAAGACTTTGTTTCTCTCACCCTTTTTACAAAGAGCATCACTTTTTAAAAAAAAAAATTATTTCATGCACATTCATCTTTAGCGTGCATGTTTGTCTGTGAAAGTGTTAGATCCCCTGGAACTGGAGTTATAGACAGTTGTGAGTTGCCATGTAGGTGCTGGGAATTGAAACCAGATCCTCTGGAAGAGCAGCCAGTGCTCGTAACCACTGAGCCATCTCTCCAGCACTGAGTATCAATTTTGAAATAAATAATAAAAATTTTGTTATGGAATTTTAGAATAAAAAATTAATCTTGCATATTTCCTCTTAAACTGTATTGTCACTGGGAATTGATTCTAGGACCTTGTACATACCGAGTGTACACTCTGTTACTGAGGTGCACCCTCAGTTCTGGAAATAAGTTTTGAAAGCCAATAACACTTGAGACTATTAAGAGCTATAGGTTTGTTCCTCAACTTTTAAGAAGATTTAGACATTAAAAAATGTATTTAAGTGTTTCCTATATTGATAGTATTTATGAGTATGAGTAAATAATTATTATACAGAATGTTTTAATGTTCTTAAAGTTTTAAAAAGTACTACTTTGTGTGTATGGGTGTTTTGTCTACGTGTATATCTGTGGACCATGTATGTGCCTGGTACCCATAGAGACCAGAAAAAGGCATTGGATTCCTTGGGACTTGTGAGCGGCTATGTAGGTGCTTAGAATTGAACCCAGGTCCTCTGTAAGAGTAGCCAGTGCTCTTTTACCACTGAGCCATCTCCTCAACCCCCAAATTTAAGTGGAAACCTTGGTTTGGCTTGAATAGCCACTTGTAATGAGCGGTCAGGGTGGTGTGTAGTCTAGAGTGCAGCTTTTTTTGGTAGACACTTGTGTAGACTGGGTATAAGTCAACAGTTATATTGAAATTCTTTCTCTTGCATGATAATGAGTGTAATGCTGAGATACAACATTTCAAACAAGAAATTTCCAGAGTTTGGGGGGGGGGGCACGCTGTGTAGCACGAGAGAGTCAGTATACAGAACAAGGCAGACCTGTCAGAAGTATCTGAAAGTAAGGAGATGATAGGCTTGAGTGGAGATGGGGAGCTATCCAGAGCTTAGTGGAATTTGATTGATTGCTTTGAACAGTGAGCAGAGCTTTGAAGGTTGTATTTTGGGGTATTAGAAAGAACTGGGGAAGATGAAGACAGAAAATGAATGGGAAATGAATTAATTGTTGAATGACTAGTCCAGGTAGTGTTCAGTGCACTTTCATGGGGAGAATAAGGATTGGACAGATAGATAGTGATTGGGCTGAATTGTGAGGAGGTTTGAATGTGGGGAATAAAACAAGAGCTGGAAAGTCCTTTAGGAGAGTTGTTCCAAAATATAGATTAGAAAGAATTTGAAGGTTGGAGGGCCAGAGGTTAGAGGTTATTGAATTGCTGGCTTTACTTCAGATATCTTCATACCCTTTCCTAGAAGCTTTTCCTGGCAATCTTCCTTTCCCTGCCAGGTTAAGATTTGCCTGGCCAGATGTGCTCTCGTGGTATAACCATATTGTTTCAGCAGTCTTTTTTTCTTTAAATTAGTGTCGAGGCCAGGGAAAGGGTCACAGGGAAAGGTGCTTGCTGTCGAGCCTGACCACCTGAGTGCAATCCCTGGAGACTCAGGTGGTAGAGGGAGAGAACTGACTTCTACACATCGTTATTTGCCCTTCATCACACACACACACACACACACACACATACACACACACACACACACACA